TCTTTCAGTACTTTGTGGAATTTCTTTTCATCGTCCTGTGTATACAAAGAATTGAGAAAATCGACGAAATCTTTCACCTTGCTATCATACTTCTGTGTTCTCAGCGCATCTCCAAGTGAATTAATTATAGATCTGGTCTTTAATACAGGTTTGCCTTTGATTAGGTCTAGTTTTTCACTCAGAACCATTCTTGTCTCATAAGTTTCTGTTAGCTCGTAGAACTTGCTGCCAATGTAGTGACAGTTTCTTAGTTCATCGTCTAAGATTTGGAAAAATACACGGAAACCAGTATCGTCATATGTTTTGAGTATGTTGATAGCTTGTTGGATGAAACTGGTAAAGGTGTGTTCTCTATCAGCTGTTAACTGACGTCTGAAGTCCTTCGGTTTATTATAATGCATTGCATCTTGAATATACTTTTTAACAGTATTTAGAAGTTGTCTGTCACCTGATTGGTCCTTATCAAATTTTAGAACGGTTTCTAAAGCAAAATTGACATTGCTGTTTGGATACTTTGATGGCGGTTGTAGTGTGTTAGTGTGTGCTGGGAAAGGAGAATTGTTTTATTAATTTTTACTGTACTATCAAAAGCTGCTGTGTGTCCTTAACATTACTAAAGGTGGTAAAACTTGAAACACACGAAAGATTTTTATTAAATTAATGATATACCTTGAAATTGGAAGTGTAGAAACACCTACAAACACTAGTTAGATTGTAGATTTAAATAATTATTAAATTTTTCATTTAGCAGTTGCTCTTACGAGCACTTGACAAAAAGATGATAATATCTTCTGCTTGAACTTTATCAAATTACGAATACAAGTATATTTAAGAGGGATACAATGAGAAATATAATCGAAATAAATACCGAATATCGTGAACAGCAAAACACAATCGCACACTTTCATTTTAATATAAAAACACTAACATTTTATTGTATCATAAAACTTGTTATACATTGCGCGAGCAACTATTTTTATATTTGTAATCCAATAAAATTATTACAACTATTTTATTGACAATAAACATTGGAATTGTTACTGATTTTAAACTCAATGTTAAAAGGTTTATATATTTCGTCGTTTTCAAATCCTCCTTTTTGAAATACGTATTTAAATATTGATTTATTCTAAACATACAGTTTGTTTCAATCCACGTGGTATACTAGAAGTTGAATATATCAAAAAGTTACTGATAATAATAACATTTTGTCCTATTAACCCAACACAAATATTATTATGTAGTGGATCATTTTGTGGACAAAAAATAGTTTTTTTAATATTATGAAATACGGATGAACTCCAAGAGACATTGACAGCAGTATGAGGATTACAAAGCTGATAGTGTTGTTGACTGTGATCTTAAATTATAATTTAGTCAACTGTGATTTTAACACGACAGGTATGATTTAAGTAATTTTCAGTTTAACAAAAAAAATACCAATCTTTTTTGAGAGGATGAAAACCATCAAATGATTCAACTCACCCTGGGTGAGATCAGAGGGAGTGAGTGTCAGATTCTTAAATCCTGTTTCTTTGGACCCTGGTAACCTTGCAGTACTTCTGACGGGCATCGACACAAGTGAGCTCTATCTGTGGTTGTCTGAGCGTATTGTTTAATATCACATTGTTTAATATGTTCACAGCAGCATCAAAAGTCAGTATCGCTTTTACTGATACATTTAACGAAACGGTACTTATGAAAGAACACGAGGAACTCATGAATATGGTGAACGCCTTCTACAGAGACCTAAATAAAATGTTACAGAAAAACAAATCAAAGAAAGAAATATTTAGAAATAACAAAGGAGTGAAAGGGACAACACGTTCGAACCTTAGAACTGCATCATTCGCGACCAACTCTAACTTCAATCAATCTATTTCCACTAACAGTACTTTAAAACCGCATAAATTACCTGATTACATCAGCCAACCTTTGTTCCCAATTCCAGTAATAACTCGAAATATTTTACATGCCAAATCTGTCTCTACACTAAGAACTACATTTAAACCAAGTACTGTTACATTACATCCTAAACAGTCAAGCTATGAATCTACATTTGCAATTCCTAGTATTCCAATTTACTATAAAGATAAACTACATTTTACAGTCGCACTTCCAACTCGAACTGAGCCTGAACAATTTCCTTTTCGTTCAGTTAACTCTTCCAGCCAATTACCTTCTAAAACTGTTGCATCTGCACCGAATTTGAAAGCAGAATCGGAAAGATTTGGCACAATAAAAAGTACTTCTTTGTACCTTGGAACGAACGGTAAGTTTAATGTAACTAATTATAGTGTCATCGACAAGCAAAATCTATTCTGTACTTGTTCTGTACCTCTCGCTCGATCGCTTTATCGCCCGTCATTGGTCGAAATTATTCTCGCAACCAACGACATAGCGGACCGCGGTCCAGTTCACTTCGATCTTTAGAATTGAAAGTCACAAAATAGCCTGGCAGTATCGTGCAAGCAAAGTTAAAGTATAAATTACGGCACGGTGGAGTCTCTCCATGTTGACCACACATCCAGAGACAATAAATTTCACTAAATTATTCTCTATCTAATTTTCACAGCAATGGAGACGAAACATTGGCCGCAATTATCCATTTCCAAAATGCCTTTAAGGTCGAACAAATCACATCTATCAACTACACTCTCTGACAGCGAAGTAAGGAAAAACGTAAAGAAAAGGGCAGAACATCGAAACAGGGACAAGTTTAATAGACTACAAATGGCGAATAATGGAAGTGAATACTTAAAGTTTAAAAGTATTACAAAAACACAGAGACGTTACAAAATAGTATCTTCGAAAGATCACTTGAAACCAACCCGTGAGAGAACTACAAAATATTACACATTGAATCTACATCGCAGACCAACTAAAGATCAATCTGTAACAATCACACCACTGTATGTAAATACACCATTCCCTTACTTCCACGAACAAAAAGACCATTTAAGTACAAACGAAAATAAAATTCATCATAGAGCCGACAAAAAGCGACGACAGCGCCGCCCTAAGCTAACTATTGACTTCAAAAAATTACAAGATTATTACTACCCTTTTGACGAGTATTTTAGACAGCCTAAGCCTGTAAAAGGTGTTGGTAAAATCACAAATACATATTTAAAGAGAATTGTAGAAGCTTCAAGTTATAGTGACGAGGAAGATTCATTAAAAAATAATTTAATCGACGCTCTATTTTATAATGCGTCGTCTACTACTGAAGCTATGAAATCATTTCTTTGACCAGTAATTGTACTGATGTTGATTAGACTCAATTAGCTTTCCAGTCAATATATATTCTAGTACACTATAGACCATCTATAGATAGACATAGGTAGGTAATCAAGTAGTTACGCCATCTAGTGATCATGTAATAAAAACTGTGAGTTAAAATTATTCATTTATAAAATAATATTTTAGGCGAAGATTATAACTATAAAACCTGTCATTACTATTAGTTAGCAAATAATGAACTTTGTAAACAATAATACGTGTTTTTATTATAAATAATGTTTAATAAAGTTTTATTTTACTATAGTCCTAGTTTGTATTCTCTATTTTTGTTTAAGTTGTCAATCTTCAGTAGCCTTCCAGTGCCATCTGATATACATTTTTTTTATAGCATTAGCCGGTAAACGAGCTGACGGATCACTTGATGGTAAGCAATCGGCGCCGCCCACGGACACTCAAAACACCAAGGCGTTACAAGTGCGTTACCGGCTTTTTGGGAATTGGGAATTTGAGGATTCGGGGATTCGGGAGAATTGGCCCTCCGGTAACCTCACTCACACGACGAAACACAACGCAAGCGTTGTTCCACGTCGATTTTCTGTGAGGCCGTGGTATCACTCCGATCGAGCCGGCCCCCACACACATATCACATTATACATAGAGATTTCAAGACCGACTACATACTTTTGTCTCAAGATGGTGTCCTAAAGGTTTTGGATTGGCCCGACAATATGGATTCCCTCTTCAACAATATACTCCGGGCGTGGTCACACGGTGGTACCGTGCGCCTGAACTTCTGCTACTTAGCCCAGAATACTCAACTCCTATATACATGTGGAGTGTTGGGTGTATATTTGGGTCGTTCCGTAGTTTCGTGCAAAACGCATATCCAGACCTATAAACTACAGAATACTACTTCTTTTTGTGCTATTTTTTTTCAGAATATGTTCAAACATAATTATTCTTCAAGGAGTATCACTAATATTGTAAATTAAGTTGTTAGTTTTTTTTAAAAATCAATAAATCTGCGTAAAAATTCATTCCTCTCTGTTTCCCGAGAGAGTCATCGGCAGATGTTTAATTATTTACTTGTTGACAATCAAACTGATGGCTACACTGAGTATGTAATATTGAAGCCTCACTCCTGGCCTACTAATTTAGCATTTTAATTACAAATTAAACATAGTAATAAAATTGGAAACAAATCTTTTCCAATTGTCACAAAAAAATCTTCATTGCCATCCGTTCCCAAAAACATGTCAATTTTGTCGATAGTGTATATAATTCATATATAGTTCGGGATGAAACGTGTTCCTATCGAACCCTTAGCCCTGGTGACAGAGCAAGGTGGACGTACACCCAACGTTGTTGAAAATATTTACGATCTCCGTAGTGTTACTAGTGTTTCGTCCAGAAACTCTTTCATTTCATTCCTTGGATTTATAAGGTACTGTATTAATGTAATTATTTTTATTTTTATTTCATTCAGTAATGGAGGAATCAAACAAAACAGTCGATTTTCTCATTCATCTCCTCTTCATTACCTTCAGTTCCTTTCTATTTTTTGTAAGCAGGTAATGAGCTGTTTTGGAAGGAAATGAGTCAAACTGATATAAGAATACAATCAAATCAAACTTTGTTTAATTTTCGAGCATTTATATGGCGAAACCCCATACAAAGTTAAACAGAGAAGAAAAGCTAGCAAAAGATAGACTAAAAAGTAATCCTGTATATTCTATATAGAAAGAAAAACAAAAGAATCACATATTTAGCGAGAAAAGAAAAAGAAAGACTTCTGTATTCAAAGCATGACTTCTGGAGCACAACGAGAAGGAGGCGTTGGGGCAGAAACTCTTAGGAAGGAAGGAAGAAAAAAGAATACTAGTGGAAACTTCGTCCCCGTAGAGTGACACAGAAAATCAGATCATTTTGTATAAGTAGTTGGTGATTGCTTACCGTTAGTAAGAAGATGGTACAAACGCTAACACTGTGGACACGGTATATTTCCTATCAGATTCTCTTTCCAGGAATTACAGAAATTAGAATATATTTTATATGATCACTATATTGATATTAACCCCAATATAAATAGCGTGACGTGGAACTATCAAGGTTCGAAACAGGGTAAAGAAGTTTCGGACGGCATTGGGTCAGTTGTAAAGGGAATAGCTGAACTTCAATGAGAATTCGAATCTTTTACATACAAAGATTGCAATGTTGATGAATTTGACGACAGTGATAACTTCTTTTTAAATGTTTAATATATTTTTTTCTGAAATTATAATTTCAGAAAACCAACTTCAACTCTTCTACAATTTAAATCAATAATGTCTTATGAAAAAAATCATTGCATATTGATTTCTCAAGTTATTTTTAAGGTTATTTGATTATTTGTGTGTTGAAGTATAGTTTTCGTTGTTTTTTTTTATTGTTTGATAGAATATCAATGTTTCAAATGCAACTATTTTGTATACGAGTAGTTTTAGTTGATTTACTAGTCCGCTTTTCATAATTTTACGGCATTAGTTAGATTTTAGATTCTCAGTAAAATTTGGTATGATTGACTGCTTGCATGGAGCATGTTGATTATTGAAATATTATTATTTTACTTGATTATTCTCTTAGGCTTTACGATTCATTACACTAACCTAGCTATCCCACTACTACATTACGGCCTTAGTTCATTACAATCCTGACACTTTTCATTGCCATCCATTAGCTTAATTTGGGATGTCATTTTCTCCGTAATTAAGCAATATTAAAAAGTGCCTATCTTATTTTTGCAATCCTGGGGATTAACCTAATACGATGAATAAATAAAAAATACAAATACACCATTTTTATTTTTGTTCCGCGGAACGGTTCAATTTGCACGAAACTACGGAATCAACCATTTGCTGAATTAATTACCTTGTCGCCACTGTTCCCTGGCAAATCTGAGTTAGACCAGTTGAACAAGATTTTCATGGTTTTGGGTACGCCGTCTGACGTGTGTTAAATAAGTGTAGCATATGTGTTAAATCTTTGTGAATGTAAAATTTTTATAAAATTAAAATATTCGGTAGTAATTACTCTTTGTTTAATTGTTCCTCCCTGTGAATACTAATAGTGGTTCAAAACTGTTCACCTCAGGTTAAGTGACTGTACTGAAAATTTGTACTGCAGTAGTCGTGGCAAATTTCACAATAGTAGGAGCATTTAATAAGGATTCTAAAACGATATGTCACTTCCTACATTATTCCTTAAATTCGACGCAAAAATATTTTTCAACGAAACTCCGTGTCGAACAATTTATTTGGACTTAGTAAGTTTTTTTCTAGTGTAGGTACCCAAAGCGCACATAAGAATCTCGTATCCACTAGCTATTGCTAAACATGTTGGAAATCGGCGAGGACCTCTTATTAAACCACATCATCGGTCTACTCATGATTTCGTTCGCAGTATTCGTCGGCAAAATTGTCGCTAAAGGAACAAGTTTGTGCATCACGTCTATCTGAATAATATTTGATGCTCAACTCCAGTTGTATGGAAAGAAGTAACATACCATGCATTATATTCATCAAACCAAATACAGCTCTTACAATAACAGTTGCAGATTGTAACCGTTATATTTCTATAACATTTCCGCGCACAATAGCCCTTAGTTATTTTTTACTAACTTAATTCCAACCTCTATATGTATTTATGTCAGACTGGGGTTTATCATCATCATACAAATACGAAATTAATACTCCAGATTATTTTTAACACAAAGTTGAGAACAGATACATTACTAGATATATTTGAAGCCGTGAGTTAAGTAGACTATTGAGATGAGATACTATTTATTATTAATATACATAAGTGACGAGTTTCATGCTCGACAGTAACGCCGTAAACTAGTAAAATTGCATTTCGTGGTATTTCTTAACTTAGTTTACTTATCATTTTCATTTTTTTAGTAAGTAGGTACGAGCCTGTACACAACTTATCGTCAACGCTATCTACATTAACAAAACAACTTAAATGATGCGGGTGAAGAGAAAGAAGGATATAACATTTAATTGTAGCTAAAATATTAATACAAAGAAGTTTAAAAGAATAAAATAATAATAATAGTTTTAAGCATAGCAAAAATGCACCGATTCAAACTAGTTGTGAACTACCCTATTGTGTTACTATGGATAAACGCATTAAACTGTCAAACACCGAGCGGTCACCGGTGACCGCAACCTATTGTTCTTTAATTGTATCTATAATGACGGTACTCAAAGAGTGGTCATTGTCTCTCAGGATGCGTGGTATTTTAGGGCCTATATAAGGGCAGGATCTTAAAGAATGAGCGCATTACTGCAAACGTTACTACTCAACACATTTTGAAGTGAAGTGAAGTGATTGTATACTATCGAACTGACAATGAGTTCTCTAAGCGTAATCGACAATGCTGATACCTTGCTACGCACACCACCCAAAACTGTACTTCCAAAAACTCACCAAGAGATACATGGTCTGAAAAAAAGAATAATGTACAGATACAAAAACGATGCCCGGAGAGAAAAGACTAGCCACAGTGAGAAAAAATGGAAGAAGATTAAAGAAGAACGAAAACAACCAACTGATGCTGAACCATCCTTCCATTCAGCGTTAAAGGACAGTCGGTTCATTGAAGAGTTCGAATACCTGAACAAAATTGACGAAGGATCATTTGGAGTTGTATACAGAGCTCGCGATAAGTCGTCAGATGAAATAGTTGCTCTGAAACGACTTAAAGATCTAAACGAAATCGAAGGATTCTCCATTGCTGCTCAGAGGGAGCTGAACACCCTACTCAAATTACGACATCCTAACATTGTCGCAGGGCGGGAGATAGCGGTGGGCTCTAGAAGCAATGAGATCTATCTCGTTTTGGAGTACGTGCCGCACCAGTTGAAAAGTTTCTTGCGCTCGGCGCGGGAAAATCATCTAATGTTCTCCCCAGAACACGTCAAATGCCTAATGACGCAACTTTTGAAGGCTGTACAACATCTTCACGACAATCACATTCTACATAGAGATCTCAAGACCGACAACATACTTTTGTCTGAAGATGGTATTCTAAAGGTGGCAGATTTTGGATTGGCTCGAGAATATGGATTGCCTCTTCAACAGTATACTCCGGGCGTGGTAACACTTTGGTACCGTGCGCCTGAACTACTGTTACTAAGCCCAGAATACTCAACGCCTATAGACATGTGGAGTGTTGGGTGTATATTTGCTGAGTTAGTTAACTTGCGGCCACTGTTTCCCGGCACATCTGAGCTGGATCAAGTGCACAGAATTTTTTTGACTTTAGGTACGCCGTCTGACGCAATTTGGCCTGGCTACAGCACATTGCCACCAATAGAAAACATAATTTTCGACAACTATCCACCGGGCGGGTTGCGCGAAAAGATAAGCCAGAAATCGTTTTCTGAAGACGGGCTATGTTTACTGCAAGGTCTTTTAACCTACGATCCTACAAGCAGAACAACAGCAGCCGCAGCTTTAGAGCACGCATACTTCAAGGAGCAGCCGGTGGCAATCGAGCCGGCCATGTTCCCGATGTCGATAGAGTCTGTGGACAGCGGTCAGTACTCCGGCGCGGAAATGGGTGAAGATCGCGGCTCCTACTATAGTACCTGCTTGGATTCCCTAGAAAACGACGTACTTATAATTGACGTTTGATATTATGATATAAGAACTTTGTCATTGTAAAAAGTGTTGTTTTATTATATTTTAGTGATAGTTATAAGAATAGTTTGAGATTTTAGTTTTAATGTTGTTGTTTGTAAGTATGTACATGTCGGCGCCCGCGCGAAACTGTAAACAACACGTGCACCGATCACGCCACCGAGCGCGTCATTTGATGCCCCCACTCTCCCCACTACTAGCTTTGCCGGTATAAAAGACGTGCAACGATCATTTTAAAGGCAGTCTTGGCTCTGGCGTGGCTCGGTGCACTAGTTGTACTTCGCTTGCTTAACCTAGACGCTCTGGATAATTAATTTGTGGAATCGAATTAATTATTATTCCGGTGTTATAATTTGGTCCCTAGACTAATTATACCCGGGTATTATTTAAGGCTATTGTTGGATTTATAACATTGTTTAGTTTAATGATTAATTAACCTGTGATTGCTGTTTCTCTGTATTTGGTTGAATAAACTATTATCAAGGAACTTCATTCTTTTTTTTAACTATGGCTGATCCTCTTCCTACATCAGAAGTGGGATCGGATCCACCTCCATCTCATGAGCAAACCAACTCAACCAACTGCATGGATCAGCAAATGTCTCTTTTTTCTTCCGGAATGGAAGCAATTTTATTAAAATTATCAAATAGTTTAAACCAGAATCCCGTCAATCCACCTACCCCCTTTAAATTGGTGGCATTCGATCCCGATGACGCGAATTCCGACGTAAAAGACTGGTGTACCTTAAGCGAAATGATTATCAAAAAAAAGAACTTGGAGGATGTTGACCTCATTATTGCACTCACTCACGCTCTTAAAGGTCGCGCCGCGACCTGTCTTACAAAAATACGGCCAGATAACATGTCCTGGCATGCTATTAAGGAAATATTAATCTCAAAATTTTCAAAACCAATGATGATGCAAGACTATTTTGATCAGATTATTAAGTTTCACCTTGGTAACAAAGAAAACCCAGCTGAAGCAGGAACACGCTTATGGCAGCTTATAGAAAAAATCCCCAACGCAAACTTACCTGAAAATGTTACAACGGGTTTTGCAATTTCGATTTTATCTCAATGTGATGATAAAATACGTCGTGAGTTAAACTCTGTAATTATTAATGATAAGCATCAACTCTTTCGTACTTTAAGAAGCTTCACACTTAAGAGGTATAACGATGACTCTGTCACGTCGGAAATAGAACAAAAAAAGTTCCGCCCTTCTATGCCATTTAAAGGTT